TCGGGTCTAATCTTACCGGAGATAGAGTCTCTGTAATAGTTTCATCTGCCAATGCGCGGGGATGAAAGTGACTTTAACTCTCCGATACATGACACACATGCTCATACTTTCACACATGGCTGATATGTCACCTGTGCACCTGAGCCAGCATCGTCTCCCTCCACCGGGCACCTGCACATGTCCTTGTAGCAGGAGAGGGATGCTAAGAAAAGACGTTGACGTCAGAGCAGCATCCGTTTACCTCCCTCTCTCTCTCTCTCTCTCTCTCTCTCCTGCTCACACACACTTTCTATATCTCTCTCCCCATCTCTCCGTCCCTCCTAGGACGGTCCCTCTACCTGATGCCAACACTTTAATCGGGACCACTTAAGGAAATAAGCTGCTGCCACTTTCCACTGCAGGGACACGAGTGCAGAACTGCTCTATGAGAACATGCACCTTGGAAGAAGACAGTATCCTTTCCATATGCCCTATAATTCTATATTAAGTAGGAGGAGACCAACATTCAGTGTGTTGATCCATAATAAAAGTTATGGAGCTCATATGCTCAGTTGTAGAAGGTGCCATGCTTTGCCTCGAGGGTTAGAAAGACAATGTTCAGTAGCTGGTAATGGATGGATGAGTCAAAGAAACATCACACTCAGACACAGGAGACAGCTGTTTGTCTCCCATCACCGACAGATAGTCAACCTTAACCAACTGGTTATTATTGTAACCACGGTGACACAGGTCCCCAAATTATTATTTCCCCTAACCTCAATGAAGTTGTTTTTGTCCCTTAACCGAATCAAACCTTGACCATAACGGTGTCAGATGAGAGAAAATGTGTCGTTCATGGGACCAACAACGAAACATATCCTCATGCAACAGTTCGTATGATGTCTTGCGAGAAGTAACTCATCATTCTTTTAAACTTCTCTTATGAAAGTCCAACAAAAAGTGTCAATTCCCGCTTGTTACATGCACACAGTCTTTTCAAAATGAACTTGCGTCTTAAAAGGAAACAACTCAGTTAGGTTTAGGCAACAAACCTACTTAGTTAGGTTTAGGAAAAGATCGTCGTTTGGATTCAAATAACTACGGAACTGCCGTTACTGAAGTACGCAAGTTATGTGACCAACAAATCAACGTTGGCTTCTCGTTTCACACGGGGGAATGAACAGCGGTGTCCTGGGTGAGAGATCTGTGTTCGTCTGACCTTTCCACAACCCCTCCCCTGCCCGCTCTGTGTGCTTCAAACTCTGGATGAGACCAGCCTAAACAAAGTAGTTTGTCATTTATTTTAAAGGATTTTGGAGTCTTCAACATCAGGTAATAAAAGCTTTTATTTTGTCAATTGATTTGATAATTGAGTGGTGCATTCAGCCTGTTCACTACAGCATCTTTATCACCCTTTAGTGTCTGCATGAGACACAGCAGGCTAATAAGTAACTACTGTGTAAACCCATCCGTGTCATACTCATACTCCGGTGATCATGTAGTTCTAAAACTGAAAAAAAACACACTGTGGACGAACACAGGACTTTCAACCAGGAGACCGGTGTTTGTGTCCCAAAGTGTCGTTGAGTTATTTTGAAGATTTGTGAGTGATATTTGATATTTGTGACATGTTTTCCATACTATTACATTTACTTAGTTTACATACTCATTTTAACAAAACCACTGAGTCAGGTTTAGGAAAAACCTGACTCAGTGGTTTTGTTACCTAAACCTAAGCAAGTGTTTCCGTTCAAATTCACAAAGTTAACGTTTTCACTACGACAGTGCGCGGGGTCATCCAGGGCTGACAAAGCGTCAGTATGTGACGTAGGAGTTGGAATTAGAACCTGTTGGCATATTCCTGTTTCCAAACACGTTTCCATCAATTTCAGCAAACTCACACAAACTAGTTGACACGCAGTCACCCTGCAGCGTCTTCATATTCAAAAGATGAAAACGTATTTTTTACACAAAGCACACCTGAAGTAATGCACAGTGGAGAGATGAGAAAGGTAAATCGTTTTAGTCCCTTGAGATCGGCCTTAAAATTGAATTGGGCCGCCAGGGACAGAAGGGCCAAATATCCATGAATGAGAGTAGATTTAATGTCAGCAGCTTTTTGGTGGCGCACTCTTTCGGGATGGCAGCATTCGTGAGCGTGTACACGTGTTATTATGTGTGACATTGCGGAGGTGGCACAACGGGTTCAGTTTGGCATCAAGGGGACTTGCGTAAGGTAATGGGCTGAAACTTGTTTTCTCATCTCTGCATCACACTCTCAACACTTTTCATTCACTTTTCCTCCTCTTCACCTCTCCCAACACCACTCACTGGTGGACTTAAATTATCTGGATAGCTGAGAGGACTGGAGGAGAGGAAAAACTGAGGGACAACACCACTTCAAAGATACTGCAGACTCCCTCATTCCCCTGCAGCTTCTGAAGGATTAAGGCCTGTTTGTATCAGCTCCCCTTCAGTTCCTCACGCATCACAGAGCTCTTTAGGCCAGATATTTGCTGTGACACTCCAAACTCTACAAACCCCCCGGAAAACAACCCATCAAGAACATTAAGTGGTCACTATAAACTCACGCTGAGTAATTGAAGCAATATAACACACTGATTTATCCAATTTGAGGTTAACGTTTGGTTAAAATCTCCTGGTATTCCTCTGTGTATTGAGTTTGCTCATTTGTGAGTGTTAAGTCAGTATTAAGTGTAATAAAGTGTCATCATTTTCCTTCGTGGGCATCAGCTTTTAGATGTATTCAAGCATGATTAGCTGATTGCTGATTAGTTTACAGTCGAAAAAATGTATAATTCTTTCCAATTGTTTTTATGTAAAACATTATTTAAATAGACAAGGTTGTTGCTTTAACTTATGATGAAGTAAATATTAATTGCACACGGTAATGGCTATAGAATAATGGCACCATCGGTGTTTAGGTTCCCATTAAGCCTCGCTTTCACAATGCGATTCCGTCTGCAACTGTGTACGATCACCCGAGAAAATGGAGGCTTAATTTACAGCACAAAGGACGTGCGTCAATCGTTGCACATCCAAAACAGGAAGAGGATAGCACATTTATCTCCCCCGGTAGCCATCGGTATCCATCCCCAGTTACTTGAGAGTGTCAATGTAAGTTCTTTCCATTTACAATCCCCGGCAGCGGTTGAAGAGTCAGCCATTGCCACTTAAGATGTGTTTCTCTGTGTGAAACCACTTTTTTCAAACCCAATCATCTAAAATTCCAGAGATAACATTTGTGATATAAATATTTTGTTTCAAAAGTGATAAGCAATTCACCAAATATCAATAATCCATAAAAATCTAAGCAGCATTTTTTGTTTTTTTAAAGCCAGTTGCCCTCAACTTGTGTTGCCAATATGACAACCAGATGTGCACAGCTGTGTGTAGAAAAGAAAACCCGAGACTTTTGACTCAAAAGCCCCCTGGAGATACATCACCACCAAAATATAGCCACAACCAAATATATTCTCAACAAAGATTAGACTAGATTCCATTTGCAATTATGTTCCTTAAAACTCCCAACTGATCTCCACAGACACAGTCTGGGAATAACGTATTTGTATTCATGGTTTGAGTTTATGATGAATGTGAGCATGCGTTTGCGTCGAGGTCAAACAACAATCTTCCTCACCTCTGAAGTACTTTAGAAGGGATTCCTCTCGCATCAAATCTGCACATTGTTATCATTGCACCAAACACATTAACCTCGGAAGGGAGTTCTGCAAAAATATATAAATCTGTGGCCATCACGGCCCACGGAAATAACAGACGAGAACCCACAATGGGTGACCTCGTTTTTGCAAAAGCTGGAGCTGCTGGCACCAGACGTCAATGGAGGAGATTTTGCTCATCTGAACCTTCGTCGAGTGATAAATCCGTCAGCGGCAGAGCAAAGAGATACGACTGTTGACATCCAAAATCGTTCTCACAACCTTCAGGTGAACACAGTGAGGAGTGGGAGGAGAGCGGCACCTCTGCCTCCTCTCATTGAAATGAACGAGACATCAAGAGGCTTCCGTTAGGACTGTTAACGTGCATCGATCTGTATGAGCAACTCTTGTCCCCGGGTCCCTGTATGTGTGGACGATGAACGTCAGTCCTCCACACATCTGCCTAGTTTACTTTAATAAGGTGCATGTACTGTAAGACCCCTGCTTCCTGTTTATATTGTGTATATCTTTGTTTTTTTGTCTATAGAGCAGATAGTTCATGTTTTATGGAACAGATGTAGGGCCAATGGTTCATACATATATACATCAGGAATCCTGGTTACATTCCAGACTCAATATTCCGATATGTTGGTCAAGGCCGGACAGAATGTGCTGAATGAAAGTTAGAAAATTGATTTAATACATGGACAATATGCTGCTGCAGGGTTTTCCTTTGGTGTTGCACCAATCGTTCCACTTTGCAAATAAGATATTTAGAGGTGGAGTGTGTAAGATCTGGCCGGTATCTAGAGCTGCAGGTTGCAGATTGCAGCCAACTGACACTGTACGTGTGTGCCCAGAGAACTTCAGTGGCCGACGCAAAAAATGTGACAGGATCTCTCTAGAGCCAGTGTTTGGTTTGTCCATTATGGGCGGACTCCCAGAAGAGGACTTTAAAAATGAGTTTAAATGAGTTTAATGAAATTGTGTGTGTTCGCTCAAACACACAAGCATGTGGGGGTCTGAGAGAGGAAGTTTAAGCATGAACTCAATTTCATTGACTAATTGTGGTCTCACCCATTCATTTGCGTAATAAAGGTGTACATCATTCAAATGAAACACCCAAAATGAAATGGAAATGTTCCAAATGTATTTTGTGTGTTCAGGTGCTCTGTGTGGACAAAGTCATGGAACCATGACAATCAGATTTAATGAACTATTTATTCAGAGAGAAAACAGCAATAGGGTTAACTGCAGGTGTGTGTGTGTGTGTGTGTCAGAGAGAGAGAGAGAGAGAGAGAGAGAGAGAGAGAGAGTCACTAGCTGTGGAGGCACATTGCTCTCTGCAGCACGCCTTTAACGCTCCGCTCCCCTCTCCGCGTAGTAAAAGCCGACCCGCGTCGCCGCCCCGTCACCAGCAGCTGGACGGAGTCCGCCGGTGGTCCAAGGGCCGTCGCCGAGGCTCCGAAACGAAAGAACGCGGTACCGAAACACCCCCACCCCCCTCGTACCCCCACTCCTCCGCTGGCCGCTGTTGTGCGCGCTTCTGCTGCAGCGTCCGAGTTCAGGTGAGCCTCTATCGTCGCGGGCACAACAAGTCCTCTCTCCGGTACCGGGGGATGCTGGCTTCTTCCCGTTAAAATGGAATGGTTATAAATGGGCCGAGCGGGATGTGAAGCCTCGCCAGAAGAAGCAGGAGGATGGCTGAACCGGGATCGTCTGCGGCGGCGGTGGTGCCGCTGCTCCTGCTGGGCTTCCTCTCAGTGTCCTCCGTTAACGCCGGTGAGTTTTACCACAGGTAGACGGGGGATGACGTGCCGGCCCGTCGAACAGCTGCGCGGCCGCTGTGTTTGTTTATGATGTTTGTCTGATGGGACGCATGTATTATATTCTAGTGCAGCGGGTTCCTGACACCACACATCGTTGCGGATGAGTTGAGCAGAAAGCGTTGTAATGGCTTTATGTAAGTTGCCCTTCCTTAGTTTGGAAGATATTTCCAGAAATAAGTCATTTTGAAATGTTAGCCCTTATTTATCTGTGGTTGGTTTAGGACACCTCTGTATTTTTAAGAGACAAAGCTAATATTCCCTTAATTTATATATTTTTTAAAAGATGATAAAACTCTTAACACTAAAAAAAAAACTATAGAAGTGTTAGATGTCAAACATACTTGATTGATAGATAGTCAGTCAATTAATCTGCAACAAATGTGAGCATTTGCTGCATTTTCTTTGTCATATATGACAGTAAACTGAATATATTTGGCTCTTGGACTGCCAGTTGGACAAAACAAGACATTTGATGATGTCACCTTCTCGATTAATCAAGACAATATTCAATAGATTACTGTAAACCTTCAGCTTCAACATCCACCAATGTCCTGAAGGGTTATGAAACAGTATTGGATTAAACTAGGATGAGATATTCCTACTGAAGGCCCAACATACAGCATACAATAATCATGTTATGCACGGTGGAGAACCTCATCTGTCTTTCATGGTGTTGCATATTTTTAACCTGCAGCCACTTCAATTCAATGAGAGCATTCATCTCAGACGTAAGATCTCGGTTACATTGCGTCCTGATGATGAGCCGAGAGATGACAGATAGTCCTTTGAGAAGCCGAAGTCTTGGCGATAAGATCATGTGGGATTTATCTCGTCCTCGGGAGATTTGATATTTGGCTTCCCGAGGTCCCGAATCCTTGAGATTAATGTAGTTTTAAGAGGGAGTTTTGAGATTCCGCTCTTTGGCAGCAAACGGCTTAAGAATGGATGGGAATGCCTCTGCTATTGTTTCTGTGTGTGTGTGTGTGTGTGTGTGTGTGTGTGAGTGAGTGCTGGAAGATAAACAGCTAGTCAAACAAGGAGTTGTAACTCTGCATCAACAAACACACACAGAGCCTTTGGGAGCCAATGGGAGATTTGGGCCAACACCAAAAACTCGATGTAACACTCTGGTTTTCTCTGCTGCATTCTGGTGTGTGTGTGTTAGCGCTGGGCAAAGAAACAGGGAGCGCGTTATTCTACATGTAATGCTAGTATTTGACTCTGCGAACAGGTCGGAGGCCTGATGTTCAATATTTGCACAGGTGGGACAGCGCGACGATCTAATTGGCAAAGATGAGACAAACAGCAGTTCCTGTAGGTAACCTGGAGGGTAAACGGAGAGAACGAGCAGTGTAGCGCCATCGCATCAGTGAGCTGAGAGATGTTAAAATGCTCCATGGAGCTGAAGGAAACTGTTGGTGATAATTGTCTTTGGGTTTTCTCAGCGACTTTCACAAAGCAATCTTGTGATCCATTAAAAAAGGGGCGCACACCTGGAGGGGAAGGTTAAACCTGGAAAATGGGTTTGATCTTTAACTAGCATTTACAAAGAATGACGGTGTTAGGCATCGTGTTTTAAGGTTTCGGGTTGTTTGTTCCCTTTAAAACAATATCTCATACGTCCACCTGGACTCAAGGATGAACTGATTACATTTGATGGTCAAAGGTCACCTCACAAAATACCTTTTTTTGGCCTTAACTCAATAAATCACATGCTAATTAAGAATTGAATTAACTATTATATCACACAAATGTCTAACGGGATAAAATCATCAAGTGATGATATTTTGGACAGGATATCATGGATGTAAACTTGAACTTGACTGGTTGGCGGAGGCGGTAAATCTAATTTCTCATAATTCCTCTGATGGAATTCAATTTGTATATGTGCTTGTCCATTTGGAGTATTCGTAGCATAGAGTAGCACCTTTCAATGCTAATCCTGTGTGTGTGTGTGTGTGTGTGTGTGTGTGTGTGTGTGTGTGTGTGTGTGTGTGAGTGTATGTGTATATGTGTGTATATGTGTGTGTGTAGTAATGTCAAGGTCTTGCTCGTCTTTTACAAACCAGGCTCATGGGAAATACAACTCCGCCTCTGTTCATAGAAGACCTTGAGTTGGTCTCAGCTCTCACACAAACACTTTCTCACACACATTACAAATGTTTTGTTTTTTTCTCCACTCTGTGCCATCTTTACAGTTAAGAAAGGAAAAAAAAGTTCAGCAAGGCTGTCATTTAAATTGAATGTGAATTTTTTTTTTCATTAGCCCAAACATTAAAATCAATTTGGGGGCATGACCGAGGAAATACTTCCCCATGACTCACCCTTTAATGAGATGTGTGCGTGGGAGAAAGAAGAGCGAGAAGAGAGGAGAAGGTAAAGACAGGGAACTGTGTGTGAGAGAAACACCAAGATGGCTGAGAGAGAGCGAGAGAGCCTGTTCGAGGGAAACGCCGAGAGACCTGTGTGTAGTTAATTAGGCCTGGTGTTAATAAAAGCAGAGAGATTAATCTGCAGGAGGAGAAGAGAAGGTTTTAGGGAAGTCGGGACGATAGAGCAAGAGGAGAGAGTTGAAAGAGAGAGAAAGTGATGCAGAGGGAAAGATATGTGTTCAGCTCTACAGTGTCATATCTTTTTTTATGTATTACAAGGTGTAACAACAGACTATTCATGACCTGTCTCTCTCAATGAATTTGTTTCCTGTGGCCATGCTACATGTGTTTATGTGTGTGTGTGTGCGTCAGACCCCCTGCTGTCAGCTCCGCTCAATGTGACCATCAGAGAGATTGAGGTAAACTCTGCCATGGTCACGTGGGAGATCTTGGAGGGGGACCCCGTCATTGGATTCGCCATCACCCAACAGGTATTTCTATGCATGTCGTGTCTTTAAATTGAGTGTGTGTGTGTCGAGAGACACTTTGGACAAAGGGTTTTTTTTTCAAAGAGAGACACGAAGCAAAGAAACGGCGTGAGGTGAAGGGGACAGGTGCATGCCGGAACATCTAAAAACAACAGGAGGTTCGCTGTAGTTTGGCATGCTGACATGGGCCGCGCTCACCAACACGGTAAATAGCTGCAGCAACAAGCTAACCAGAGGGCAGCTTGTTGAATTTTCTCAGGTGGGATCATCAGCAAGAAATTCAGAGCACCAGAAATCTGCATTTCATAGAGCATGGATCCAAGGAATCTTTGCTAAGAAGTGGAAAACTCTTTTATATCCCCCTGAAGGAGCCGACTGAAGCTGAACTTGTGACTTTAGTTTGAGTGATTCTGATTGCAGATATTGCTACTTTGAGCCCATATTATCCATTCATGTCAAAGACATTACAAGTCGTCTGTGGTTCCCTCTTGGATTCTTCCTGGCACGTTGGAAGAACTTCAGAAAGATGTAGAATCAAACCCCACTGTAATCTGTGCTTACGCAATATCAGACAGCGGCTTGATGCACCAGTTTAACCCTGACCTGTGACTTCTACTCTGAGGTGGTGCCAAAGAAAAAGAGCATTTTCCCCTGCAGGGATCAATAAAGTATCACATTGCATCGAGTGTCCTGGCCCTGATTTCTCTACCTCTGCCCTTCTGTTCCTCGCTTCCTCTGCAGAAAAAGGATGTCCGCATGCTGCGCTTCATCCAGGAAGTGAACACCACCACGCGCTCCTGTGCTCTGTGGGATCTGGACGAGGACACGGAGTACATCGTTCACGTTCAGAGCATCAGCATGGGAGGCAGCAGTCCCCCCAGCGAGCCGGTCCTCTTCAGAACGCCCAAGGAGTCGGAGAAGATGGCGTCCAAGAGCCCAGGTGAGGGACATCAACTCCTTATTTTTCTATTTTTACTTGGTTATCGGTGAATGTTTCACAAAATCTGTACAAATCTGGGTGTAAAATACATTTTAAAAATACAATTCAAAGCACAAACACTCTCTTTTACTTACTGAGAGAAACACTGGCGCTTAATAAGCAGCTCATTTGTCCTGAATTCCATCTTCACTTACTGTTACTGGAAGCTCTGAGCTGTCAATGCTCTACGAGGAACTCGGGTCCTTGGAGATATAAAATCAGAGCAAAAACCCTTAACCCTTGGTTTGCAAAAAAATCATGCATTGTTTCTTGTTAAAAAATCTGCAAAAGCTAAACACAACGATGAGCCTGACATCAACAGAAAAAGCACACAGATACAGAAGTGATCACGCATTACATGACACAGGAGCACTCAGAGAGAATAAACAAACATTCTGCTTCTCTGTGACACACACAAACCTACACGTGCAGATTCAGACATATATCTACACACATGTACCTGAACATACACGCACATATTTTAAAAGCAGCTTTTAACGCGAGGCAATAACCCAGCGGAGTACTGTTTCAATTGCATTTCAATGCTTTGTCACGACAAAGAAAACGGTTATTTGACAATCTGATCCAAATGAAAGGCAGGTTGTCTTTGTGAGAACCCCCACCACCACCACACCTCCCATACAACGCACCGTTCTAATTCTCAAATGCAGAGGCTGCTGTTATCTGGAGCGGCTGGCTGCACTTCCAATTTTATCATGTCCGACCCAGTTACGCTGCCGAGAGCAGCTGCTTTAGAGGGACACGGAAAAATGCTAAATGCTCATCAGAAGCAAGGTGATAAGGAAACGGGAGACATTAGGGACCGTTCGGGTGGTGCAAGACGGGGAGGCATGTCAAGTCATTTTTCGGCAGTGGGGAAGGACTTACGTTTTTTATTTTGGCATGCAACCTTAACTTAACATCTTTTATAACTGGCATGCAGAGGAGTGCTCATATTCTTCACAGTCCCGACAGGAAAGACACCTGCTCCTCCAAACGTTTCAGATTCCGAGCGGCTGTCAATACCCAGAATGCAGTTTGGTGCACAGGGAACCAACTGGACCTATTCACCTGTAAAAAATAATTGCACTTTATTTCAAAGGCTGCCGTGCCAACTGATATTATTCTGGCCGCTGCCGCATTCTGTTGTGTATGTTACAGTTTATTTGGGAAAACAGTCATTATGCGCATGTCGCTGATGTTGGCTATGTGCAAGGTGTGGTGTGTGTACGTGTGTTACGTGTAGGCTGATTACATTTTGTTAGTCTGTCTTGTGTGGTAGGAAGGGTGGAGGATCTGCATTTTATTTTGGTGATACCTCTCACTCCCTCCGCGCTGTTTGCTCGTTGCATCGACTGGACTAAGTTAGCATCTTATTTCAGATTCAGAGCTGGAATTGTCACAGGTAAATTCTGCAGTATTATAGGAGAGGACGAAGTGAGTTGAGCTGGTAGTTAGTTTGCCTGACAGTGGGTGAGGGGGGGAGGGGTCAGAGGGCCATGGATTAAGAGTTTTTTCCAATACTCCTTACCTTAGGTGTGAAAATAATAAAAATATTATTTATGGTAAAGGTGGGGTTGTGCAAATATGATTTTAAGACTCAATGCTAGACCGGAATATTTGTCATGTTAGCTGTATTTTCCATTAGCGGTTCAATTCGTCTTGATGTTGAGGGGCTGACTTGTTTTGTTTTCTCAAACTTTGACTGAAGTTCCCCGTGTGCAAACAGTGTGTGTGTGTGTGTGTGTGTGCGTGTGTTTACGGAAGCATTCATTAGCTGCTGATTAAATCTCCTAGCCATTACTTCTCTCCTCCCTCTTCTAAGCAGGTATTAATCAACCCCACACCCTTTAGTATCTGCAGGCGCAATGCAACACGACACACAACTGTCTGTGTTCCTACCTGTCTGTTGATGTGTCTGTTCATCTGCCTATCTCTCTGTCTGAAGCTCATATCCAATAACAGCAAAATATTGCACCGAAGTTTTCATAATGTAGGAAAATCTTTGATGGCTAGCGTCAAGGTGTAATTACGTTATACAAGGAGCTGCAAAATCTGCAGTTTTGTAAATCAATCTCTGACAGCAGTGAAATATTACAGAGACTCCTCAGTGTCGGAACGGTTTCCACCTTTAATTTATCTCTGACAGTGGTGCAGCAGCAGCATGCTGCCAGTATTCACATGCTGTAAAGTGTGGAAGATTCCCAGCACAACCAGGGAGCTCTGTCAGGCACACTCAATTGCTAGATTATTTTATTTGGCTTGATGTTTTCTACATAGAACAAAGAACAGATGCTTTGGCTTTACAATCATTTCCAATTGTACGGTTTACACACCTGTAAATAGGAGTAAAAGACCTCATATATTGGGGGGGGGGCAGTGATCAATGCCAAGAAACTCAAAATAGGCGTTCGTGAAGAAGATCCGTCCCGGGGATGTGGGTGCGATGAGAGAGGGTGGATGAGTGGAAACCTACAAGTCAATAATGACTTATCTTTCACGTAACTTCTGTAGTGAAGTAACGACACTTCTTTTGAACACTTATTTTGAACCCAAACCATCTTGCGATCTTTTCCTAAACTTAACCAAGTAGTTTAGTTGCCTAAACGCAGCAGGGACTGATCAGTCGTGTTGCTAAACCGTTTTATGCAGATACATTGACTCATTGCTTTACTTTCCTTATTCAGTCCAGCTCCATCAAAGGTTTCTTTAAACAACTTCAAATCATCCACCCACATGTCACATCTTTTGCATTTATCACGTTTAGAGATAGAAAAGGAGACATTGTGGATCAACAAGCCATCAGAAGTTAGCTTCTAGCCTCGCAACCTCAGCTGCACAGTTCACACATCGAAGCTAGGTGACTCCTGAATATAGGCGTACTTGTGGCTGACGTAAGCGCTACGCGAATAAGTCAACTTTGGGAGTTACTGGGACCATGGTGACTGTACACCGGCAGGCCTCCATATCCGAGAGACATATAGACGTCAACTTACAGCTTCATGTCAAACCCACCAACCCAAGCTTATCTTATTCAGAGGTCCGCCCTCACAACAGAAACATGTAATTTGCTATTACCAACTTCATACTCCCCTCTGTATTACCAACTTCATACTCCCCTCTGTATTACCA